ATCGTGCTGAACTTCTGACATTGAGTTTGGGGTAAGACGGGCAACTATGAATCCGATGGGTCTGTAATGGTAAAAATATTTTTGTTGCTGTAGGAAAAAAGAAGCATTTCTGATAAGAATATGTTCGATTCCGATACTCACAGACATGTTAGCAATATTCCTTCGGCACAGTTTATTCTCGAATAATGAATGTGAAAAACGGCTCTACATGGCTTCTGAACTAGGGCCTATATACGAGTATACGCCTTCTGCACGAATCTCGTATACTGCCATTTCCGAAGCACTTGAGACCAACGAGCGACTGTATCAATGCGGCTAATCTCGGGCATTTGCTGCGAGCTGTGCTGGTCGGTGAAAGAAGCTGGCCGTCTTGCCCTACCCATGTGACCGTCTTACCCCATGGAGTGGGGTAAGATGGGTTTTTGCAAGGTTTTGCAAAAATAGCTGCAGTTTATTTGTTGAGTCAGGTCTAAGTCTCATCTTCTGGCAAATGGAAGTAAAATGTCTGTAAAAGGTTTTCACTCAGTTTCCCGTTTCTATGATGTTTCTAACCGGCCGAAAAATGGCTCCAAAGTTAAGGTGCCCGTCTTACCCCACTTTCCCCTATGTTGGGCCATTCCGACGCGTTTTAATTGAAAAAGCGGGGGGAGGGGTGATTTTTCCCTCATTGACTTGTAATGGGGAGGTGAAGAACTGACTTTAGGTCATCGATATCAAAATTCCGAGATAAAAAAAATTGTAGCCATCAATAACCTCATTACATCCTGCGACTTTCAAGGCCCTCCGTCATCTACAGTATGGTCTGACACGGTGACAAAGTTGCAAAAAGGTGATTTGAGGTTGAGTCATTCGAAGTGACCTGGTAACCTGACCTTGAAAGAGAGGAGGTTTTAAAGTTGCACACCATGTGTAAAATTGATGAGGGAAAAGTCGTGCAAAATTTCGCGGCGCTTCACGCCGCGGTCTTTCCGCTATTAACGAAAAACCTCAGGGCGGGCGGGTAACCGCCCCCCCCCCCGTCGGTGCGCGGGTTAACCATCTCCGATGTTGACAGGATGTGATCGGCCACCACCGCATTGACGTGGAGGACAACACCTACGATTTGGTGGTGGTGGCGGGAGCGTTCGTCCCCGGACACTGCCCCCTGACCGCTCTGGATGAAATGATTCGGGTCTGCAAACCAGGTGCGGCTTGGAATCGATAGGTGTGCCCGGGTAGATTAGTCACAGTAGAGCAGCAGGTGTGCTTTGATAGTTTGGTGACATATTGTTGATTGTGACAGCTTTTAGAGCCTAGCAACATTTCCTATAGTTCATACTCTATAGTAAGTACATATATTATTAAGAATATAAGTGAAATTCTGTTATTAAGTCCCATGATAGTTACAATTCCTCCTGTAATTAATTGAGCATTGCAGTAAGATCTATAACGCATGACACGAATTTTGCTGTTCAGGTGGATACATCATCAACTCGATGCGGCTGGAGTTTCTCTTCATCTCGAAGGACTACACTGGGCTGTTGGACTACCAGAGAGCTCTGGAGGAACGGGGACTGTGGCGGCGCGTGTCCCACATCATTGTCGACAGGTACTTCGAGACCGTCAAACAGGGCATCACGTTCGTCTACCAAAAGATCTGAAGATGCTCCCACATCGTTGAAGCTGCCAGTGGTTGATTATCTTGAACTCATGACGCTGGTCGCTGATCAGACCACTATCGTAAATAAACGGGAGTAAAATTGGCTTCTTCGAGATCCTAAAACAAATGTGCAAAACAAATGGCAATACGGATTATAGAAGTAATTAGCCATGAAATTAAATCGTTGGTCACGTCATGCATAAGCTAAGACTGGATTGGTGTCTCTTGGAAATTAACCCTCGCCGGCCGGGGGGGGGGGAGGGTGCCGCCCCCATTGTTTTTTTCGTGATAGCTCCGAACAGCCGGGGAAAGAGAGCTGAAATTTGGCATACCTGAGCTTTAATTCAAGCCGGATCTTGCGACACAAGCCGCATTTTCAAGTAAGGTCAGGTCACTGACCTATGACGCCATAAATGAACCTCTGCACGGTCCTAAGATGTCGCAACTTTGCAACGCCCTCAGTGCCAAAGGAACTTTCACAGGGAGCTGAAACGTACAGGACGTAGTATCCTCCAGAGGTCTCATAACTTGTGCATCTCGGATTCTTCCTAAGGGTCACATGCGGTCAGATTGGTCACGTGACCTCGCCACGTATCATAATAGTGGATCACTAGGATCATAATAGTGTTTCGTCAATAACTCCCGAGCAAATTAAGCTAGCGAATAGGGAAAATCACCAATGGACTCGGGAGGACCTGCCGAATCGAATGATATGCGATATGACCTCCTCCGCGTAAACAAATATACCATTCGACGCGCCTGAGCGAGACAAACACGATGGTGCCAAAATCGCGGCGCTGTGACCGTGTTTTGTATTTATCAAAACCGATCCCGTGCCTTGGGCAACTAGACCTAACATCAGAGGTCACCGGTTGACCTGAAACCTTTAAATTGGGTATCAGTCGCTGCGTCTCGTAGCGGCGCTCATGCTCGTTTTTTTCCGCGACGCTCTAGCTCCATAAGTGAAGAAATGGAGAGGGGGGTCGTACCCCTCCCCCTCGGCCGGCGCGTATGTAGAAACTTTGATAGGTCCGGCGAAGGTTAAAACGGATCCGCGACATTGGGATCAGGCCTGCCATCTCGCGAGATAATTATCGTAAGCTAGATGGCAGGCCTGAGCTAAATGTCGCCAAAAACTGGTAAGGCACCAATCCAGTATTATCGCATCCATGGTCATTGGTCACGTCACTAACAGGCGAGCCAGCAAGCGCTGATACCGAGATTCCTTAGCGTTAGCAGTTAGCACCGTAACGATGCTCACCTATTGAGCCATCGTTTGTAAACTGTTATGCGTCAAGTTCAGATTAGTCGAGCTATGCGGCGCAGCGTGCTTTCAGGCGCATTCTAGTAGCTCCATCTACCGGCGGGTGCACGAAATGAGCTTTCTTTCCGAGTTTGAGACGGACGTCTCTGGGCTCTGGCATATCCCTACCTACCTAGGGGTCAAGGGGGTTCACAGTGCACAGTGCACGTTTAAGTTCACGTATCACGTTGTGGAGAGATCAGATGATTACTGAGCGGTGTGCCTCGTGAAAAGCGATGCTGAATGGACTTGGAGTGATATAGTGGACAAATACATACATATGTAGTAAGTCGCTGCTTGTTTGTTATCATGTCGGCAAGTCCAGGATTGCTGACGAGAGCTGGCATCTCCGATCTGTGGGAGACCGAAACACCGCCTGCGAGTCGTCTTCCCTCCCCGAGCAATGCGCATAACCCAATATACTCTTAACAGTTAACACTCAAAGACACTTTGGTAAATCTAGCCAAGTTTTGGTAATATTGTTAAGTGCTCGAACGAGGAACATATTGAATACAATTAGATAAGTAAAAGAAATTGACCTTTTCCTCGACATTAAAGATGCAAAAAGCCGAATAATGTATTTTTAAAAAGCGGTGAGCTTTTGGCCACTGGCCTTTATCAAACTAACGTTACAGTAACGTTGGTTTGATAAAGGCCAGTGGCTTTTTAAGAATAAATTATTCGGCTTTTTGCATCTTTAATGTCGAGGAAAGGGTCAATTTCTTTTACTTATCTAATTGTATTCTAACCAAGTTTTATTTAAACACTTTTACCTGGCTGGTGCTTAGGTAAGTGTATAGCGGATGGCCGAATTCATCTAAGGACTAAGTTAGAGCAATTAACCATGATAAAGAAGCATCGAATGGTGCCTGACAACTACTACCGGAAATGCCTACACCAGATTTGCATTTTTAAACTTCTATGAAATCCAGTAGAAACGTTTTACATCAGCGGTCATGTCAGCAATGTTCATATTCTGTCCTTTTTTCGAGGAGACTCGTCAATTTTCAACATTTAAGAAAATCGTGCAATAAACTAACACGGCGAATATGACGACCATTGGAAAGGTGACCTGACCTGACGCTGACCTTGATCGACTTGTGGCTGTTAGATACGGCACGAAATACTTCTTTTTATTTTGAGGTCTTAAGTAACTATAACCTATAATGCACACATTACAATTCTGACAAATATTCCCCCACACGGACGTACAAACCCACACACAGATGTACCGCCGGTCACGGTCAGGAGGCGTTCAGCCGGCAGCGTTCAGCCGCTGTTCTCCCTGCAGGACCCACACTCTCCTCCCCGACCAACTGGCTACACAGCTCCTTGTGGAGGTAAAAGAAGTTGGTGTTTTTCGCCCAGGATGATCACTTCGTCCACGCAGCTGACGTGCTGGTCGCCGTAATGCAACCACATGTCCCGCCCCGCACTGTACACCTCAGACAGAGTACCTATCCCGAGTGCGTGGCGCCGCCGTAGTGGCTGACGACGCCCACCAGCCGTATAGGTGAAGTCACGAGTCGACAGGGCAGAGCGACTGGTCATCCTCCAAGCGGCTGTTCTTTTCTGGGGTCTATAAGCCAGTACCTATTGTTGAGCTTGTTACTTTGACGCGTCCTAAACTTGTAATGAACCTATAGCCTATTGCTAATTTGGTCTCATTACGATACGACCATCATTCGCTCTAGACGGTAGACGGTGTAAGAATCTGTCTCCACGGAGGGATGCGTTCGGTGGAGTAGGACCTGGGGTGTGATTTATTGGCTTCATACAGGCATATGACAAATAAAAGAAAATATAGATAGCAGGCAGAGGTGTCTTTGCCGCAATTTTTTGCTATTTATGCAATTTTACATGCTCAATGCTAAGTTGTGCTGTGGAGTGTTACAACTTGCATCTTCGTTTTGCGGTATAGGTATTATTCGGAGAGGGAATTACGGCTCGCAGGCGGTGTTTCGGTACCCCACACACCAGAGATACCTGCTCTCGTCAGACAGCTCGCCTGTGTCGTCATGGTAACAAACGGAACAACTTATTTGCGTTTGTATTTGTCCACTACATATCTCACTCCATTCAGCATCGCTTTTCACAAGGCACACTGCTCACTCAGCTCAGTAATCATCTGATCTCTCCACAACGTGATACGTGAACTTAAACGTGCACTGTGCACTGTGAAACCCCTTGACCCCTAGGTAGGTAGGTATATGCCAGAGACGTCCGTCTCAAACTCGGAAAGAAAGCTCATTTCGTGCACCCGCCGCTAGATGGAACTACTAGAATGCGCCTGAAAACCCGCTGCGCCGCATTGCTTGACTACTTGATGCAAAACGTACCCCAAGGGAGCCGAATTTAACCCCTTATGTTTATTTATTCTTAGTGATATGATCGGCGTTCAGCATCATGAGTTCAAGATAACCACTGCCTGACAGCTTCAACGATATGGGAGCATCCTCAGATCTTTTGGTAGACGAACGTGATGCCCTGTTTGACGGTCTCAAAGTATCCATCGAAAATGATGTGGGACACGCGCCGCCACAGTCCCCGTTCCTCCAGAGACTTCTGGTAGTCCAACAGTCCCGTGTGGTCCTTCGATATGAAGAGAAACTCCAGCCTCATCGAGTTGATGATGTGTCCACCTGCATTGAAAAAATAATGTCATGGGTTACAGATCTCGGCTTAAAAATTCAGTAGAGGGGAAACTGTCGTAGGGGTAGGACTAGGGGACAGAATATCATTTCCTACCGGCATGTATGTTATTAATATACACTACAGACTATAGGACGTATCCCTAGCCCGCGCCCCACTGGGGTCTGCGTATAACACGCCCTACTGGGGGGGGGGGGCTATTCATAGCCCCCCTCCTAACTCCGAAACTACTGGGCCGATCGTCAAAATTCAAACAGCGTCTGATAGCCCCGGAAAAACTGTCGAGCGAAACCTAATTTCATTGACCTCGAGGTCACCGATGACGTCACAGGTCAGGTCAAAGTAAAAGTTATTAGCATTTTGGCTTGTTCACGTTTTGGGCTCTGGCCGCCGTCTTACAAGTCAGATCAGGCTCATTTTCGGTTCACACACTCTTGAACAGATGCTCTAGATACCCTGAGGGTACCAAACTTGTACTTTGATTTTCAGGTCAAGGTCAGGTCATCACAGTTCACGAAAATATTATATCATGCGTCGGTCACGTGACACATGTTTTATGGTCCATTTAGGCCAAAGATTTCAAATTTGATGTCGTCTGTGTCATTCGAGGTCATTTGGAGTCGAATTTAGCTTAGGTCAGGTCACTTTCAGGTCAAAAAAGGTCAAATTTTGAAGTTATAATTTTTCAACAGAAAAGGTGTCTATTGGATGCAGATTGAGCTCAGGAACACGATGGTGCTATTTATATTGGCGTACGATGTCAAATACGTGGTGAAAATTTGATTTGAAAAATTAATAATTGTGAATTTTTTTGCAATAATGCGTATAACTTGGCTATTTTTGAAGGTATTTAGCTAAAACTTGCTGGAGTTATAGTTCGTTTTTTTCAAAAGGACGCTGGCTCAAAGTTCAATATCGAAGCTCTCACGTGAGTTTTGGCAGCTTCAATGTCTGGCCAAGAATTTCTTACCGAAAAAATAATCGATTTCAAATTTTGCACGGTAAGTAGGTGGAAATTGTTTCTTAAAAATGAACATTCTATGATGATGTCACTGGGGGCAGCAGGCACCCAAATGTCCGTGCAGTGGGACAAGTGTCAACGAATTTGGGTGCAGAACAGTTTTTCACTGTTGCCGAGCTTATAATCGAGTGAGCGGTTCCGTCCATGATAGTCATAAGTTACATTGAAATACATGTTCGACAGCATGACGTCACCGCTGTTCTCATATCTGGTTCCAAAACGCCCATATGGAAATTATCGGGAAGAAATCACATGTTAAAATTAGTCGACGTTCGATTTTCTCAGGTTCAGTTTTTGCTCGTTTTGCTCGCTAAAACACGTGCTTGTTCGAAAAACATACTTGGAGCCAGCGTCCTTTTGAAAAAAACGAACTATAGTCATAATATTGCGTTCTATCACATATATTCCGGTTTTTTCGAGAAGTCAAAAACTTTTTGAAAAATATGTAAAAATGTAAATTTTGAATTTTATTATATAAAACTAGAGGGACAGCATTACGCGCAGCGTAATGAATTAATTTTCTTTAAACTCGGCCCAGTAGCGGCCGAGTTAGGTATTGCAAGAATAAATTTAGCGACTCCTCCTGGCCGGCGGTGCTCTGTTCCGGTATTCATTGCCAAAGGTCAGTGACCTGCCGGCTCTGATTTCGGTCAGTTTTGCAAGCGAAGAAACTGAGCGTACGGCGCGTGCTGTCTGCTCGAAGCCGGCCGCGGCCAAAATTCCGCAAAGATGCGCCCGCCACGTGCAAACCGCCCAGCGCACCCCCTCCAAAATGTAATACAACAAACAGATGCACGCGTCCGACTTGCGTTCAAAATTTCACCCCCGTAGCCCGCACCGTTCCGGAGCAATAGCCCGCCAAGCGTGACTGACGCGTTACATACGTACAGACACTAGAGAGACAGCATTGCGCGCAGCGTAAAGAGGGACAGCATTACGTGCAGCGTAATAAATCAAGTTTTAATAAAATCGGCCCAGTAGCGGCCGGGTTATGGCCAGAATAAATTTGGCGTCTCCTCCTGGCCGGCGGTGCCCTGCGCCGGTATTCATTGCCAAAGGTCAGTGACCTTCCGGCTCTGATTTCACCCAGTTTTGCAGCGAAGAAACTGAGCCTACGGCGCGTGCTCTCTGCTCGGCGCCAGCCGCGGCCCAAAATGCCGCAAAGATGCGCCCGCCACGTGCACACCGCTCCACGCACCCCCTCGAAAAGTTGATACGACAAACAGATGCACGCGTCCGACTTGCGCCCAAAATTTCACCCCCGTAGCCCGCACCGTTCCGGAGCAATAGCCCGCCAAGCGTGACTGACGCGTTACATACGTACAGACATTTTGATTTTTATATATGTATTGTAAATTTTCGAAATTTTCAAAATTTTGAAAATCCGAGATAGCCGTTTGATAGCGCAGTCTATTCTAAGTCCTCTCATGTAAAGAAATTGGATCTAGCTTAAAAACTGAGCCCTTGGGAGCGATTGCCGTGGTTCAATGTTTTGCGTCGAAATCAGCCGAACATGACGTCACTCTGACGTCATTTCCGGCCGACCTATGGTAGCTACGAAGTTAAAATTTTGACACAAGGTGTCAAATTGATGCAGCCGAAGGTACTGAAAGTTTGGCGTCGATACTTTAAGCGGTTTGGAAGTTATTGCAGAAAAAACGGGAGGGGGGCTATGAATAGCCCCCCCCCCCCAGTGGGGCGCGGGCTAGGCACATCTATTAAAGTAAGTAGACACATCTATTAAAGTTGTCACCAAACTATCAAAGCACATCGACTACTCTGCTGTGGTTAATCTATCCGGGCACACCTATCGATTCCGAGCCGCACCTGGTTTGCAGACCCGAATCATTTCATCCAGAGCGGTCAGGGGGCAGTGGCCGGGGCCGAACGCTCCCGCCACCACCACCAAATCGTAGGTGTTGTCCTCCACGTCAATGCGGTGGTGGCCGATCATATCCTGTCAACATCGAAGATGGTTAACGGACTTATGCTGATAATGCTGCAACATAAAAATACTGTAGCACTTGATTGTAATGATTTTATCCCGGTCAAAAGCACATGCTATTAATTGACATACATTATAAATAATAAATGTCCTTACTTCGATGATGCGCTGATAGATGCCACGACTCTGAGCGATCTTGATCATTTCGGACGATGGCTCAAGGGCGTCCAGGTTTTTGATGCCGGCGTCGTAGAGCTGCCAGAAGTCTGCAATTGTAATACTACTCCATGCATTTTCGCTGTTTACGCATCACTGCGTAGTGCACACGTGACACGGTCTTATGGCTTTTGGACGGTATCCAGGACATAATGTATATTTCAGCCAATACATATGCAACATTAAAAGCTCTGTCTTACAAGCAACGCAAATTGCAAAGGTCACGCGAAAAAGGGCAAAATGTACAAATAAGAAGAAAAAGAAGAAGTCATCAGTCGCATTTACGGTCATTCAATCATCTATTGACTCAGTGACAATAAAGTAAAATGATATCAAGCGTCTATGTTTTCTATTCTAACGAACAAGAGTAACGAATGACTTTTCTAAAGTAACTTTTTGCGATCGTCTGTGCCTGCAGATGACAGTGGCACTTTGCACTCCTAACGGCAGTGACAATCCTGCCAACAGTGACACCCAGCACTCGGCACTCGGCACTCACCCTCTGTCCGACCAGACCGGTAGGGGAAGGTGGGGTAAGACGGCCCAGCGGGGCAAGACGGACCACCAGCCCTCCCGGCTGAACCGCTGCTGGTATCTACTGCTTTATGCACTCACTATGTTTGTTTTCCTTCGTAACAATGGCCACCTTGAGCTCATGCTGCTAGGATGCATAGCTTTTGAGTTATTGAGAAAAATGTTGTTTTTCGTCAAACCGATCTAATATAAGAGGTCTACGGGTGATTCAATTACGGCACCTTTCTTGCATGATTAATTTCTATTTTGCACTTTACTGTGAAGAACAAAGTTATAAACTTAGTTATAGTCACACTTTAGGAAAGGCAAGGTTTTGCAATGTTGGGCTATTTGACATATACGTCATGATAATGACAGAATTTAGATTTGGGGCAAGACGGACCACTGTGGTCCATCTTACCCTGTGGTGGTCCATTGTACTGTGCATATGGAAAGTTCTTTTCCAAAACATTGACACAAGTTTAAGTAAGCTAATTTTTCAGGAAGGAGTCTTTGTTGCATGTGAGCCATGCATGCAAGTGCTCAGTTAGCATGCATTCATGCCAAACGACAATCAACACACATGTTCCCAGCTTTTAGCTGCAGTTCCATCACACATGAGTAAAGAATAGAGGCTCATTTAGTTATTTTACCATTCTGGTTACTTTTTCTTACAAGAGTACAGAGCAGAAGTGTAACACACATTAACGGATAGAAGTCACTGCTGGGTGGTCCGTCTTACCCCACGTTTTTTCTTGTCTGAGTTTTTGACATGTCCCTCTTTACGAGCATCCACCACCTAGATGTCTTTAAGTTGAAATTTAGTCTTTACACATATCAACAGAGGAAGGATTGAGCATTCCGAAGACTATAAATAATATGAATTACGAGAGCAGTGTAGCAAGATATGGGGCCTCAAACCTTAGCTGGTCCGTCTTACCCCACCTTCCCCTACCCGCGGCGACATCCAGCACTTTCAGCTGACCCCGGGGTACGGCGCCGTCCTCGGGGAATAGATCAAGCACCGCCTCGGTGGCGAACCGGGGTCCACCGAGCACCTCGATCGGAAACTCCTGCGGGACAGACGACAACGAGTGCCAAAAACATGACTGTGATAGCACGCTGAAATGCTAATGATTTAAACATGTAGGCTTGGAAGGATCGGTGCATTGCAGTGCATGGCTGTTTGGTAAAAAAAAAAAAACGCAAGCATTCGTCCACAAAGAGGCACGCTATATTTTGCACGCAAGGGTCTAATGAGGGTGTAGGTAATTCGGTATTCGATTGAGCTCAGACTAAAAACCTTTACGTTTCAGTTGATAGGTGTCTCATTTTTGTCATGCGACAGGATTTATTCAGTAATAAACGCTAAGCCCATAAACTATCCCTAGCTAGTGGTATTGGTATCGTTTGTGTGTTTTATAAAAAAAAATATATGCAACTACGACGTTGTTCGGAGTACATATATATATTACAAGGCTACTCGTATGTTAAACCAAAGAATGTTCTACATTTTACAAATACCTCTTCATAGCTGCTGGCGGCCTGGTTGTACTCATTGACGGTATCCTGGACGTCCCTGTGCTGGATCAGCTGGTTGACGAGCCGCGGCTCCTCCTGTCCACCGGACGGCATGGCTGCACGCGCTGAGAGTCGGTCACAATCCGCTCTGAAACGGCCGAGTCACAGCCGCTGCTCGCTCTGAATTCAACCGAGCTTCAGTCGCAGCCCGCTCAGCCTTCGAGCGAGTTTCAGCGGTAATCGGTCTGGTTCTGACCGAATCTAACCGCTTTTCGCTTCTAATTCCAGACGACTTTCAGCCACTACTCGCCTAGAGTCCCACCGAGCTTCAACCAATACCCACCCTCAATGATGTCTCTAGTTCTTGCCGTTGTTCGGCACCTCCAAGGTCCGATGCAGACGGTCGTCTGACGACTGACGCCGCGCCGGATGTTTATAAAGGGGTGTGTGCCCCCGAGCGAGTCCGAGCGTGCCAAATTTAAAAGTCGCTTGCTCAAAATTTACCGAAGCCAGAGGATCCCGGTCAAAAAAGTATTCCACTTCTGGCCGTGCTGCCGTTCAACCCCCCTAAGGCTTTTCGCGAATATCTAAAAAAAAAAAAACGGCGGCGGCTGACATGAAATGTTTCTATTGGATTTCATTGAAGACAAATGCAAATCCGAGGCAAGAATTTCGTAGTACCTACCTAGTTGTCAGGAACTATTCGATACCTTCTTCAACATGGTTAATTGCTCTGATTTAGATGAATTCGGCCATCGGCTATCCCTATACGACTTGTTCTCACGGAAATTTCATTTTTTAAGCAAAATTTTGAATCGATTGAAGAAGATGCTTAGTAAGCCATGGTTGGGGTCCCGGTTCTAGTAAATAACCTCGCCAAGCATATCCCTCGCCCTGGCAGGGGGGGGGGTCGATGCGACCCCCTCCCCCCTAAGGTTTTTCGAAGATAGCGTAAAAACGGCGGCGCGCAGCGCCGCCAAATTTGGCACAGCCTATGGGGCAACCTTTTTACATATGACCTAAAAATTTCAGGTCCGGGTGACCTTGGGTCAGGTCACCAGATCAGAAAAACCGGTACAAGGTCATGGTGAAATTTCAATTTTCTTTTTGCACCTGTCCAACTCACAGTTTTGGACTGATTTCCTTCAAACTTTCAGGATGTGCTAAGTTCACCGAGTTGTATAACATATAGCTCGGGTTTTTTAGGTCACTGACCTGAGCTCAGTTAGAGGTCATTACGTCGTAATGTTAAGTCTATGGGAAAATACTAAATTCGGAAAATACTGGAGATATCCGCTTCGTTCTATCCCTTTTAGGCTTTGAAACCACAGTACTTAACAGCAGGCCACTTGGTGCTTCTTTGTTTGGTGTACTTATCCATGGGTCAGGTCAAATGAGGTCAACTGAGGTCAAATGACGTTTTTGCCAATAACTTGGCACATAATGACGCTAGAGTTTAAAAAATTGTATCATTGTGTTCCTGGTGATCAGCCGAATCGAATGATATGCGATATGATGCAATTCGGTTAACTTAAACTTAATTTATTAATTTAAGTTCACTTAAAATTTAAGAAAAACTTTAAGTACACTTAAGGAAGCTAAAAAGTATATCATTCGACGCGCCTTGACGTGCTGAGTTCACTGGTGCTTTTCTTTTTGCTCTATCTTAATTAGATCAAAAGTTATAAGCGAAAAACTTTTGACCTGTTTTTAGCGAAATTTTTACATTTATACGCCCAAAAGTCAAAACCCACCTAAATATTGACCTAGAGCAACCAAATTTGCACAGGGGCGAGAACTCCAGGGGGCCCACCTACCTACCAAATTTGGTGTTTCTAGGTGCCATAGGAGCCAATCGCGAGGGGGGTCGCATCGACCCCCCCCCCCTGCCAGGCCGTGTTATGAAAAATGCCCTGCCAGGGCGAGGGATATAGTCACAGCAAGATTACTTTACTACGTCACAGAGCCGTGATTTTGGTATACCATCGTATTTAGGAACCAATTCTTCGACACCAGTAATGCGTATATTGATTCGGTAGCTTTCGGAAGCTTCTGCTCCCTTCGTCAGCCGTGCTTTAAAATGCATTAAAATACAAGACAATACGTCTCAAACGTCTCAAACACCTACCAAGTTTGTAATGCTTATTAGACGCGTCGAGTTCACTAAAAATTGACACAAAATTTGAATGGCTGCACATCAAAAGCGGAGCAAGCTATTACGACACAACTTAGCATATGTAAAGGTAAAAGGAACATTTCTCATCATAGCAAATATAAAATTTTACCTAAGTAATGACGGCCATAGGCGGCGGAACGGGGAGGGCACCGGGGCACCGTGCCCCCTTTGATTTTGGCATTTTAACATTAGCCCTATGGGCGTTGCATGGAAAGAATGGGACCAAAAGTCGGCAGTGCCCCCCTTAACCCTCGCATGTGTAGGGGGGGGGGTCGGATGGACCCCCCCCCCATGGTTTTTCGCGAATAACTCGCGTAAAATGCGGCCGATCGCGACGAAACTTTCAGTACCCTCGCATTGATCAATTTTACACCTACCCTGAAAATTTCATGACCCTGACCCAAATGACCTTTGACCTGTGACCTCTTTTCCGAGACCATGTTTGGCCGGAATCGCGATTTCGCGTATGTCGGCTCGCACTAGCCGCGTGTTTGCAAGCTTTTCGTGGTTTCAAACGTTCAAACGTGTGATTTGATGTTACTCCCGTGTGTGTCAAGGTCACCTGAAGGTCAGGTCAGGTCATTGACCTTTGGTGACCTCGGGTGACCTCGGGTCACTTTTTTGAGTTTTACATGTTTCTAAGCTAGTTTTTGGAGCTGAATTCGAATTTAGCAACCATTTGAACATTTACGAAGTAGTTTTGGTGACTTCGTAACATGTTACGAAGCTGTCAGAGGCGGTTGACACGTACTACGAATACCCGTCACGACGCCTACTGGTTGACCTGACCTGACCTTTCCCGACCTGGTCTAAATGCTTCAAGACATCATCTGTGATCAAAACTAACACGATATTCGTGATCAGCACCCCGAAAAACCCCTTAGCAGCCACACTTTACGACTTTCTAACAGGTCCCGATTTTCCCGACTTTGGGTCATTGACCTGACCTGGAAGGTCAACCAATGACCTAGGACCTTAAAATTGGGTATCATCGGCTTCCTCTCGTCACGGGCAACACGCTCGTTTTTCCGCGAAGCTCTAGCTCGATCAGGGGCCAAACGGCAAGGGGGGGGTCCAACCGACCCCCCCCTACACATTAGAAGCTGGAAAACGCCGCACACATGCGAGGGTTAATTGAAGGTGTTCCGCTCATAGGTAAGTACCTACTGAGACAGTCGCGTCGGAGGTTGTTTTAGGTAAATGATGACCACCGAAAGTCCACTGGCAGGCTTTTTCAAAATAGTACGTCAATGGGAGAGTCTCGCGCGTACCAATCCCTAATAAAAGCTTAGAATGTTGAATGTAGTCCCCTATAATACCGTGTGGACTGTGGTGGAATGGAAGTAGCCGTAGGTAGGTATCTGTGGGTGATAACCTGAAGTGTTGTAAACGTGAAGATAATGCCCTAAAGAAGGGCCGGACCCCGAAAATGCACATGGAGGGACTTTTTGGGACCTCACAGTGCTGATGAAAATCAAGGGGTCACATGACCCGTGTGCCCCCCCCCCCCCCCTCTTGGATCCGCCACTGACCGTGATGGTGATGGCACAGGCGGCACCTTTGCCGCAGAGCGCAAGGGATCTGAGTTGGTTTTTCATAAATTTGAGACAATAAAACTTTTCATTAATATATTTTGTTTGCATCCATATAGTAAAAAGAAAGATGATATCAAATAACAAATAACAATGTCATATATTTCACATGTATGCTGCCGTATATAATTTGCTAGCTGTGTACTTCTTGTTTTCAGAAGCGTTAATTACGCAGCTGTTTCCTTTGCGACGCAACACGTCAACAGTGAGCCGGCGCCGGTTGGGTTTAGGTGGTTTAGGTATTTCAATTTGTGGGTCCAGTTAGGGTTGTTGACTACTGCAGAAAATCTCATATTATAAAGTCATGGAGTCAATTGTGTCATTACCCTTCAAGCTTCTAGAAATCCCCAACCTTAAGCTGAAGAAGCCATCATGGTTTAAACAGCCTACAGCAATGCAAATGTTTGCATTCATTCTCGTTTCTTATTTTATGGTAACAGGAGGTAAGTTTATTCAATATTAATTTCTTCAGCTACCCAGTTAGGAAGGAATGCATCAAAGGAGGTTCCTGATCCTGAATTGAATGGATGACAGGAAATCAATGAGTCAACTTAAAGGGACCCTCCCACCTTCAAAAAAGTTAATGAATTGGCATGAAAGTGATGTCGCTCGGTTTAGAAAGAGCAAAAACGAATATCTACCAAATTTCATCGAAAAATATTCACCGGTTTTCAAGATATTAGACTTTTACTTTTGTTTACTTTTTGGGATCTCCGCTGTTCCTAGCGACTATTTGAAAGTGCGGCATTTGTTGCGCACAAAGCAGCATATACCACCGCGTGCTACAAAACGTTTTAGTCAAACATTTAAAAATCGTTAGATATCTGCGCTGACGTCACACATTCAGACGTCACATGACGTCAGGTATTCCTATGCATTAGCCCCTCTGAATCAAAATGCTGCAATTTTGAAATTCAATATTTCCGATTTAAGGCATTTCTCGATGTTGTGAGTGCCGAAACCGGTAATTGTGAGCCAGGGACCCCATTTTGGCTATCTCAATTCAAATCTAATGTTAAGGTGGGAGGGTCCCATTAAACAAAACAGTAGGACAAGACAATGTCATGATAGAGCATCAGAAGTCAGGCTATTTTCCACTTCACTTGGCATCAATTTTTATTAATACAATAGCAAAAGAAGTAGCTCATTAATATTACAGTGATCAGTCATTCTCATACTTCCCAATTTTCTTGAAAGTATTGTTTAAAAAGTGTAAACATGCCAATGGCCAAGTAATAATTTCACTTAACGAATGAATTTATGGAACATCTTATGAGTAGCATGCACTTGTTTGTGTTTTGTTCTTGCATGGTCTCATCTGAATGAAAACTGAGTTGAGGAAAGGAATAAAACATAACAGCTTCTCTGCTTGTCCTGTTCCACAGGCATCATTTATGATGTTATCAATGAGCCCCCCAGCATTGGATCTACTACAGATGAGCGAGGACATTCAAAACCTGTGAGTTGGTAACATTTGATTTGAAATTAAGATACTGTGACACTTTTTTGTTAATTTTTCATGAACATCTATGGAAAGAACCTCTTGATCTTTTGACAATTTATGAATTTATAGGTCAGTAGGTAGGTAATCCTTGGTGAGACTAGTCAGCCCAGTAAAGCTCACATTCCAAGTGTCATTCTGGTTAAGACTGGCTTGGGTTAACTCTCCACTCATTCACAGTTAGGAATTTAAGGCTTCATGATATAACATTCTGTGTTCAGTGTTGATGCTGATTATCTATTTACCATAGCCTTTCAAATGACACCCACAAAGGTGTCTTGGCCTAACGAGATGTGTGCCTGGCAGGTGGCATTCCTGCCCTACAGAGTTAATGGCCAGTACATCATGGAAGGCCTGGCGTCGTCGTTCCTGTTCACCATGGGCGGCCTCGGCTTCATCCTGTTGGACCGCACCCACAACCCGGCCACGCCGCGCAGTAACCGTATGATGCTGATCGGCGTCGGCTTCTCCTGCATCCTCGTCAGTTTCGCCTGCTGCTTCACCTTCATGCGCATAAAACTGCCGTAAGTGGCGTCGGCATTTGTGGGCGATTTGTTCATTCGGTGATGGGGGGGGGGGGGAGGAGGGGGGCCTCCCACCGGGGTTGGGGGAGGAAAGTTCACGGATTATTTATGTTGAAAGCCGATCACCGATGCGGCCTGGACTGCGGACTCTGAGAATCTCTTACATAAGAAAGACATGTTAACATTGACGATTCCGCTGAACGCTCTAGGATGGCTGCTTAGCATTCAATGTTATTATGTCTAGTGACGTCCTAGTGACGTCTAATAACAGTGAGGGGATGGTGCGAATTTTTTTCTGCCAAACCGCAAAATTTACGAAGCATTGCACAGGTCAATTCGATTTCGTTCTTTTTGTACGTACGTAAAATAAATGAACGCGCTTTTAGTATAGGTATCTTGGCTTCTGTTCACCCTAGCCAGATGTGCGTACTGTGTGGTATGTATGCGTATAGTGTAGTGCCTCGATGTCTGAGAGCTTAACTAGCCAATGTTCTTTTTTCAGGTACTACCTGCTTTCGTAGAGCACAACGCCCACCCGTCGGCTACAGCCGACGAACCTGCGCCACGCCACGCCAGACCCAAGTGACATTACCGCTCCCAGGAGACCATAGGCATCCGGCCTGCAGGATTTAACCCGTCACACTGGTCGTGCGGGGTCGATGGGTACGTGGACTGTCTGCAGCGGTGATTCGCGGACCAATGCGTGCGTGATATTCGACACCCCACTTGTAACTCGCCAGCGGGCTGTACGGCCGAGATGTATAACCACGGTGATACGCCTCGGCCACGAAGATTGATGGTGGGTGTACAGGGGCGCGGGAACTACTTTCCGACTGGGGGGGCACACCATAATAGAGATTAACCTAGGGTACCCCCAAATCTAGTTTTCTCACCGGTTTTAGGCCACTTATTTTTCACCCCTCGGCTTTTTCAACAAAAAAAGAAAACATTTGCAAAAAAGTGTGGTATTCCGTCTCAAAGCTGTGGGGGCACCGCCCCCACGGCCCCAGAGTTGGGGGGGCAAGCTGCCCCCACTGCCCCCCCGGCTCCCGCGCCTATGTGGGTGTAGGTCGTGTCTGCTGTGTGCAGCCAGACCTGCCTCTGGCCAAAGTGATACCGTTCGCGACAATCTAACATCCGGCTTAGTGCGGCGGAACGGCGGTGACAGGCACACCAGTGCTGAATGTAATCCACCATGGCTCCATTAGAAGTGATGTTGTCTGTTCTCTAACGAATTATTTCGGTGGATGATTGTGGGACGATTGAAATCACTGCAAAGGTACGGTTGGTTTCTTCTGGGCCATGTCTCATCCGCTTTTTCCCCGGTGTCCCACTCCGTGTTTAGACGAGTGAGCTGTGCGCGTGCGGTCACAGAATACGCTGGATTGATCCACTTTTGCTACTGCCATGGGTGAATAAACACGACAGCACAAAGACATTGTGCGCTTTGTTGGGGCTAGGGGTGGTTGGGGACCAGCTGGACGGCAGCTATCTGAGCGCAGGGTCCACCTATCGGCACCTCGACGCTCGTATCACTGGAAACGTTTAGGTAAACAGGCAACCGCAGGAGATTCTGCAACTACGGATCTTTACAGCGACTGTCTGGCCTAAACAATCACCCCCAGCCCACTTTTTGTCATGCTTGCGTGTTCTAAACACGGCTTATTTTGTTCACGGAGACGAAAACGTAGGATAACGAATGAATATGATTGTTGTGACCAGCTAACACGTGACCGAAAATTGATACGAAGGCTGCACTCAGCAGTTAACATTCTCACCCCATCCCATACGTTCAGCAACTCATCTCCACCACGTTCGCCTTAAACACCTCGCTCAGTATGACGATGACGCTTTATTTTCGTGTGGCGATGGCAGACGCCGCGCCGGCCGGCCCGTCGCCCCGGAGTTCGGGTAGCTCTCTTACAGCCCGCTCGGGCGACGGAACGCAGGCGCATCTCACTCGCTCTCAGCTCAGTCGGCAGTAGCGGCAACGGTGAGCGGGGTGGCAATCCACCCGCCCGATAATCCTGACATTCTGGTCATAAAAATGTCTAAAAATGACCCGGCGCTAGCCGCCAGAGGCACAGGAATCCGTTCCCTGTTCCCGACACAGTTCCACATTTGCACACTGTGGAAAAACAACCCGGACAGTCACTGAGACACCCTCACTCGTCCTCCTCCCTCTTTTTGTCCTTTTTCTTTTTCTTCTTTTTCTTTTCTCCGGTTTCCTCGGAAGCAGCCTGAAAAGCAGAATCGGATATGCTGATCTACTGACCCTAAATAATCAAATGCGTCATGGTGTCGCTCGTGGGCACAGTCGCTATTCAAAGATCCTGGAACAGGGCAAGTGATAGAGACATTCGTAAGGCGCAAAACAAATGGCATCGCACGGATAAACACCAAAAATGAATGGTTTTAGCTTACGGTGTCCACTCAATTACGATATTCGATGTACGAACTTACCTCAGCCTGAGATCCGTTGAGCTCGCTCTCTTCGTGGTCTTTCTTGTGCTTCTTCTTCTTTTTCTTTTCCTTCTTTACCTCCACATCGTCTGAGGGCTCCTGCTTTACGGAGGTGTCCATGTCGGCGTCACTCTCCGACGCTTTCCTCTGCGATAGGACAGAAAAGTCAGATCAATGCCGTGGTAACACAAGTTAGCAGGTGCCCTGGTCACTGCCAAACTTTGCGATTGCAATGACACGACTAAATCAACATAAATAGACTGATACGGGTTTGTTTATTGTGGTTTTTGGGCGCGCCGACTGCAAAGGTCAATTTACACCCAAGACTGATACGGGTCTTCATGCACACATTTATGTAAACGGGCTACGTAAAAAGTTCTAGAAAGTTTTAACTTGAAAACCGACGTAGAAAACAGAGAAGCTGAACAGAAAACAGATGGCGAATAATGAACTCGTTCACGAGTTGGTGCGACACTCGCACGACAGCAGTTTTTCACGACACCGAATTCTTACCTTCTTCTGTGGCGCGGGCGCATCCTCCACCTCCGCGACGGGGGTCTCCTTCTTGACGTTGTAGTCCTCGTAGCTGACGGCCCAGTCCTTGGGCGTCTTGTCCGTGGGCTTGCCGTGTTTGTCCAGCAGGCCCTTCTTGATCATCTCCTTCTTCAGTGTGGCCTGAGGAAAATGGTGTCCTCGGGTTATAGAGCTGCTGTTTACACACTGACACAAGGCCACGACGATGCTCGACTAAAACAATGCTCACAAGTGGAATATCTCCGCAAATAAGACAAAGAGCGTCAGGACGTGTCCAAGAGACGGGAAGCAGTGTGGCTGCTCTCGCTCAGTCGCTCACCTTCGGTCCGAGTCCCCACTTGCGCGGGTAGGTGTCCCGCTCCATGATAACCCGTTTCAGCTTGGCGCACACACCGTGGTCGCACGACGCCATAGTGGCGGTGGTCATCAGCGCGATCGCTGCAACAGGAAATAACGGTCAGCAAACATCGTAACATCGCATAGAAATCTCATCTCAGGGAACAATAAATATGGCAGAGCAAACGTCTTATATTGAGCGATTATTGTAGTCCCATTACACTCAAATATCCCCTTTCCGCTGGGGAATCGCCTAACTTTTCAGTGTTGGATACGCCACCAGCGACAGCTAGCAGCTTCATTCACTACAAGACGCCCCCGGGACCCATCCATAAGGCAGATAAGTCTACCACAGACATCACGCACGTCCACTCATAGACTACAGATCACTCCCGGGTAGCACGGAATCTATCGCTGATCAATCATAAACCGTATAATAAATACTCAGATTAGCTAGCAGTCGAGGAAGACCCCCGAACACTCTCAAGAGTACCCAGACCACTCCTAGGCCTTGGAGGGACTCTCCGACTCTCCTCGGACTCTCCGAGAGTCCAGATACTCCGGAGACTCGGGGACTCCGAGCCCACTCACCTAACGCGATGGCCTCTCCCTTGGTGGTGACGATGACGATCTGCTCGTTGATTTCGATGCCGTCCTCGTATCTCAGCACTCCGGGCAACATCACCTTGGCGCCGTAACAGACGGCGTTCACCTGAACGACGACGACGGCCGGGAGGTTAGCGACGGGGTCAGGGGTAGTGGCGGGCATTGGAGAATACGTATCGAGTAGAAACTCACTGGCGTAATCTAGCAGCCGTTTATCGGCAGCTCGTAACATATTAAGACCTCTTAGAAAGGGAAACGATAGCATATAAAACGCATAAAAAGGCAGTTGCTGTACCGTCTCTACAGCTCACTACTAAGCCACTTGATCGCCATCAGCATATCAGCTTTACTGTTTGATGAGTAGACCATACACATAAAGACTTATGTGAACGAATGACCCACACTTCTTCCTTTACGGCCGGAACAGGCCGGTCGCCGAGGACAGTCGTACTCACGGCGCTGTCCTTCATGATGATGCGTTTGTGTGAGGTGAGCAGCGCCTCCATAGGCTGTACGACCCGGCGCAGGTACGACTCGTCCTTGTGGTTGTCGTACAGCCACTGGGCGTCCAGGATGTCGTGCATCGTGTACATGCCCTCCTTCTCACTCTGAATACCTGCGGGGGGCGGGGGGGGGGGGCACGAGGTCAGCGGGAGGACGGCGGGAGAGGGGTCGGGTCGCGACGAGCGACCGGAACTGCACGGTCCAAGCAGACGACGAGCTTTACATAAAAAACACTCGTGTTAGCGAAACAGTGTGTAATTGAGCAGACGACTGACAATCAGCAAATTTGGCACCTCTAAAACATCCAGACGTCATATTTTATAGAATATGATAACCATTCATTCGCTTATAGCACAATTAAAAACATCTACGCAGATTCCACCGTCTACCCACATCAGTGGCGCCATCTATCGATGCTCTACCGATCAACAGCACCCACTCTCTTTGTCAGCGGCGTCACTTACCGGACCGTACTCGCCGCAGCTCCTGCATCTGACCGCCGACTCCCAGATAAAGGCCCAGGTGGACGCACATGGTGCGGATGTAGGTGCCCGCCTCGCACGACACCCAGAAAATACCTGTAGGTGGGAGAAGAGACTAGGTTAGCGGCGTGTAGGACGAAAGACGGATATTTAAGACGATTTGTTGGTTTGCGGTTCAAATCATATCGAAACTGGGTAGATACTGTATTTTTGGCATGAAGTGATCGATAAAGTCAGATATTAACTACGACATTAATATATCAGAGTCGGGAACGGACTCAGTGGTCATTGTACATTTAAAATGTTCAGATGCTGTTGTGTTGCAATAGGAACAGTGTCCAGTGAACTTGTTTAGCAGCTGAATAAATGCAATACGTAAATGTTAAATACCAGACAGGAGGCACACTTGCAGCTACGAGTCGGCGGTGAAATGAACCTCAACAACCACTGTAATTAGCAGTTACAAAAAATCACACAATCACCCTTCCCGGCTGAGTGCCCCTCCACTCACCCATTTGGCTCTCTGGGTCGTACTCGATCAGTTTGCTGTCGTACACGGTGCGCACGCGCAGCTGACGTTTGACGGCAGATATCAGAGGCGGACGCTGGAAGAGCGCGCCCTTCAGTCGCTCCAGACACTGAGTCACCTGCGGGCGCAACAACGAGGCGTCAAAAGGGAGGCCGGGCGTGAGACTGTGCTGCAGGGGTGTTATCTTATGCCGCCGTTATGATGATATGAACCGATACTGATCCAGTCCACGGTAAAATGTGTCCGCTCACCTTTTGTACATTATCGACCATGGAGTGTAGCCGGAAGATGCAGACGTACTCCTTTCCGGCGCTCTGCTGCGACTTCACCAGGCGGGTCGCACGCTCAATACAGACAATCAGACAGCCTGGAACAAACATTGAACACCATCAGCCAAATGCAATGCAGAATCACAAACAGCACGGAAAAGAATAATCAAGCACATGAACCCACGAACGTCCAATAAACGGATAATCAAGAAACTGAGCAGTATCAGACGTAAGATAAGAATCAAGATAAGCATCACTGATGTAATTTATGAAACCATAATGCCATCAGCTTACTAAAACAAGGACTGAACGATGCCATTCACCGAAATCCCGCCCGCCTCTTTCCCTCCGACAGCTCTCACCGGTAACCTTGGGGTCGAGTGTGCCCGAGTGTCCCGTCTTCTGCACGCGGAGGATCCGCTTCACCCAGGCGACCACCTCGTGTGAGCTCGGGTTGGATGGCTTGTCCAGGTTGATGAAGCCGGCCTTCAGGTGCTCGGCCAGCGGCCGGCGCAGCGGCGAGTGACCCTCCGGCAGAGGCGTGTAGTGGTTCGTGCGCACGTTCAGCTTGTCAAAGTTCTGCGACACAAGAACAGCACGGATTACCGACTTTGTAACGACCTTCTGATCAGTTGAACCAAAGATGAACGCTTATCCAGAGCTCCCATCTTGAGCCAGGCATCTAAGACGTTCTCTGCTAGAGCCTTCAAAGATAGCCGATATCATTTTCTTGATTTAATACTAGACGATTGCTCCACATTTCTTATCCGCGACAAGCCTATGCTGTTCCCCCGCCACTCATACTTCGACCAGAATTATGAGAAGTGGGGTCAACACCACTCCTGGGGTTTAGGACTTGAAATGTGACGGCGCCAGTCCAATGAAATATGACCATCAAATAGGTAGTCCGGCAAGTCATCTAAGCTAGGTCGGCATTAGCCTTGACGGTTAGAACTCGGGGATGTCGGATGGCCAGCAAAACCATTTCATTAAAAAAATCCCCAAATTATTATCACAATGGAGTTCCACAATGGAGTGTCTGAGACTGATTGTTTTAATCAAGTTCTATTGTTATCATAACAAACCATTTTTGCAAGCGGTTCATCCATAACATTTATTCGACATTAGTGAACATGAGGTGAACGATCTGCGAACGATCTCACAAAAATAATTACCAGTTAATGCTCACTGCAAACTTCGAAGTTGTTGTTCCACTTATCATTTGCAAAAATGACATGAAAAATACAATCAAATGTACCTAGTGGGTTCTTATCTGTTGTCTGTTGGTGACTGTCACCCACCGATCGCCGCATGCTATCCGGTGTCCCTGGCTGTCGACCATGTGGGCTACTTGCTAATGGCAGTTTATTGGCCAGTGACCCACACAGGATGACCTAGAGCAATGGGTCACATGACCTGACCCTATGAGGAGTAAGTGAAGTGGGGCCCCTTGCCTGTTGCCAAGACTGGGATGCCATACTGCAAAGTATGGCTCGTAGGTCGACGAGGCGCACCGGCCCAAGTTCAAAATCCGCACCAACCCTTCAGAAAGACACGGAAAGTCCGCACCAAAGCCGAATAAGAGTATAAAAAAACGCACCGAACCCAAAAATGAGCAGTTTACATCCGCACTGACCTCAATTAGTAATATGAGCCGCAAGCCCGCCCTCTCAGAAGCATGGAAACAAAACGAGAAACACGCACCACACGATTCAAACAAAAAACATGTCACGCCAATACAAGAACTATATCCAGCACCTGCCCCTGGCGATTCCTCGAGGGTGATTATTGTACGAACGATGTACTATGGTTGCCCCAATGGTGGCAACACTGACATTTAGCTAAACTGCTTGACAACATATACCCAGTTATAAAAAAAAAAAATAAAGATGATTATGAACGGCTAAATGTGGGATCATCTCATGCATGCATTTTTGCGTCTTTCATTGGGTCAACAGCTGTATCGTACAACAAATCTGATCGGCAAGTCATTCACAGCGGATTTGACTACTTAGCCGCGGCAATGTGGTGGTCCTCAAGGCCTGCCATCAGCCATGAGCATCTTGCCCTACCTACCACCGAGCGACAACGCCAAACTCTCACTGACATGAGCCGATTGCACCTCGTTTACAAATGCTGCAAAATGCAACCTCAGATTCTTTCAATGCAACTTGTTGGCTGCGTCCGAACATACATGCATGATACATCGTTCCCATTCAAATTCTTGAAGCGATGGAACAGTGATCTAGCCCTTGTCATTGGCCGCGCACATTCGAATCCCCCCTCCCCCATCGCCCTGCTCATCTTTCTCACTCGCGCCTCACAGAGCCGAGCGGTGCGTTTCGTGTTGTAACAGTGCAAACTTGCGGCCTGATATGGGACCACCAGCGCTGGCATAGTCCGTTCTGACCACTGCACACTAAATTATCAATTAGACAGCACACTGAATTACACGTCGGAACAGTGTTCCATTTTTCAGACTTTTTGGTGGCAAATCACACCTAATGGGGAAAATATTTTCATCCCTAAAATATGAATGACCGACTTTACTTCATCTCTGAAAAGAGTTTCATGTATTCCCAACAGTCAGTTCACATGTCACTTGACAGTTGATGCACCCACATCCTTTTGCTCCACACCCTGTCAAGATCCTGACATGAAATCCTGGTTTATCAGTTGGTATAATAATTGGCATTACACCATTTTGCAAAAATACTTCAGCTATTTACTTTCTTTTTTCTCAACCTAGGATTTTTTTCTTCTTCATCGGCACACCCAACCATTATCCAATTTTAGAACACTGCGTCGGAGCTCCAACAATGTGTTTTCTTTGATTTTTCTCAACTGCCTCGTCTGTGATGTCCATCGCTAAGCCTATTTCGCGCCACACTTCACATCCGCACTGCACCAAGCCAAAATTCACACCGCACCAAATCTGCACCAGCCAAACAAGCCTGCACTGACAAGATCTCGTTGAAATTGCCATAATTTGCAGACTGGCTGGGATGAGAGCTGCAGCAGCCCAAAGGCAGGCAGTGCCGCAGCAAGTGTTGGGCATGGTGTTAAAATATGGGCCTGGCAGAGTTGTGCTGTCATAATAAAAGAGCAATATGATACGGGACTTGGGAGCCTATGGCCAGCTTAATACCACAGAGGCAGAGAAAAGTTTACTTGAATAACTAACCTTCAAGAGTAGAGGCCACTGTGAAGAGTCCAGCTTCGCTGGCTCAGAGGAAGGCTCCAGCTTGAAGTTGCCCTCATGCTGAGCATCTGCCACAGATTTCTTCTTCTTCTTGCTGGGGGTGTCCATCTTCCCAAGCAGAACTGAAAAATAAAAACTTAAATTAGTCTCTAGCAAAACACACCAGGCCAGCATGGTTTAGATTCAACGAACTTTCTGGAAACATGTTTAACAACAAACTAATGTTTGACACACTTTCAAGAAGTTAAAGGTGGAAAATAAATGTCTTTAATATTAAATTATAGCTTGTTTTAATCATTGGTGGAGCGAATGGACAGTTCAAGTTTTGTTTGCAGCGGTAGGCGAAAATCGTAATGAAATCTGATTCTATAGGTCATTGAATGCTCATTAGTCACAGTAGACGGTGGGAAGTCTATCATGCATCATAAACGGTTAACATTCATCCAAAAAATGAAGTGGAATATCTAAACCAGTAAATCAATTCTCATACAGCCACAAACCTCGAAAATAAAGCTGAAATAAAAACAAGCGTGGTTAGCAACCACGCGGTCATATGCGTCAGATTTGTAGCCAAAACACGTGAAACACACGCCGTTGAAAATCGAAATGGCACTAATCTACTGCAGTTTTATTATTTGAAACGAAACAAGATAAAGAATAGATTCCATTCAAGTGCAAATGCCTGCATATAAGAAGTAAAAAGAGACACAATGTATATTATACTGGACAAAGGTGCATCATACGAGTTAAATTTGCTTTAGAATTATCACACATTGAGATAGGTAGGTCATCACGAATCATGATAAACATTATGCTCTTGTTGCTCGTCTGTGATGCTCTTCTCATTGAGCTCAGCGCTTAGAAAAGTGTCTAAACAATACGTTTTAAATGAGGGCTTAGAAAACAGTTCAGAAGAAACAACGCCTCTCCATTGTTTTGCTTTGGTTTTGCTGCTGACATCTATAAGCGTCTACCAAGCTGTAGTACCGCACAATTACTATAGGTGACGCTGTAAGCTGCTGTACGTCCACAAACCCTCTGCACGGCTCTTCAGTCTTTAGTCTACAACACAAGCTGGTCGGTGGCCACCGGAAGGCCCTTGAGCCGTCTTGCATTCTGGGAGGCCTGCCCCACCAGGAAACACCCGTCTCAAAGGGATGCATCAACTGCTGCCAAATGATTCACTTCACTCACATCCCCGGTGGCCCCCACCACTCCTCGACATCATGATGTCGAGATAAGACAGATAAGACATGCATGTCTCTTATCTGACCGAAAGGATCTAACTAAATCACCGTTCCGTGCTTCTATCCTCAGGATACTGAAATCCTTCTCCTCCACACCGCAACCCTCCTCCGGGCTGGACAGGCAACGTTATCTCATGCGGGCTGCTCCCTTGGAGCGGCACCGCTGCTCCCGAGGGAGCGCACCCCGTAGCCGGGTGCATTGAGTGCCTTGGGGCTGGGTGGCCTGTCCTCTGGACGGGCTCAGCCCCGGCGACTCACTAGGGTGCCTGCCCAAACCAATGTCTTCCCCTATATCCTATCATCCTCCCGGCTCTGAAATGGTCTAATTGGACCGAAAGGGCCTAACCCAATAAAACAAACAAACAAATAACTAAATAAAACAGAGGGACAGGTGCAGCATACAAGTAAGCAAATCCTAGCAAATCCAGAGAATTCTTTGACAACAAAAATTCATTTATTTGGTCTTTATCAGCACACAAGGTATGCACCTATATACTCGTACCTACTGTGAGACGGTTCTTGGTCACTAAACGTAGACGGTAGGTAGACCTACAAGTTATTTGCAAATTGTGCCCTGCAGCTAAGAAATCCTAGTTTCAAAAATTAAAATCAATTCCTGTGTTGTGCAAAGGGCCAGACGCTAAAGTGAACGATCCGAACTTTTTCTGAATCGAATGCGCCTTCACAATGGTCGGTTTACGACTCACGTGCGCGGCAAGCATTCACATTTCACATCGCTGCGCATAGGCGTAGGAACAGGGGGGGCCGGGGGGGCCATGGCCCCCCCCACTTTCGGAGGTGGGGGGGCCAGCAATGTTAACTGGCCCCCCCCACTTTTTGCTGACTTAAGTGTCTGTCTGTACCTAACCTACCACCCGGTAACTTGACAACTATTCAGCTTGCCCTTTAATGAGGATTCCTTTTTGTTTCTACAGCGTTATTGACCGCAATTTCCTTCACTCAATGAAGGAAACCATATCAGAGACAAGACTGTGAGTCCTGGTGACAGCATTTTGTTGAATACGAGGCGCGGGACAGCGAGCACTAAAAAGTAAAAAGGTATAGGCAATACTAAGACAATACTAGCACGGTGCAGGAGAATGCGTATACAAACGACCAACGCTTGACCTTATCTGCTTGGGGTCGGCATAGTTCGTCAAAGGCGTACTAGCTGGGGGCCAGGGTGACCGTGCCTCAGCCTCGGTTCAAACAGGCTGGGGGCCAGCAATGTCTGTTTCTGCCCCTCCCCCTTCCACTTTCAGTGCAGTGGCGGTCGCAGAGGGGGATCAGGGCCATGCCCTTCCCCCCTCCAAAGGCTAATCAGGGGGCCATCATATCATTTGGCCCCCCAAACAACCAATGGGCCCCCATGGGCGTATGGGGCTCTGGCCCTTATTCGATTGTCACGAGACTCAAGAATCCCACGCTAGCTATTAACAGCTCCCAAACCAGTCTTTGAGGGTCCTACACTGATCTCGGAGGGCCCTTCAGTGGCGGTCAAGCGCCCACATTGACCGCTGAGAACCCACATTGACCTCATTTGAGGGCCCCTAAACCGGCCTCAAGGGCCCAGCCGGCGTCTGAGGGCCTCACACCGGCCTCTGGTGACCTCATTTCTGTCTCTGGGGTCCCAAGACTAGCCTTTAGGTGCCTTTGAGGGCCCCGCACTGAATTCTGAAGACCCGATGCCGGCCTCTAAGGGTCCGTATCGGCCTCTGAGGGTCCACCTTGGCCTGAGGGGTCCAACGCCGGCCCATGCCGGTCTTTTAGGCCCCGCACTGACCTCTAAGGGCAAATGCTGACCTGTAAGGACCCACATTAGCCTATGAGGCCTTGCACGGGATTCTGAAGACCTGATGCCGGCCTCTGAGGCCCATCTTGGTTTTTGAGGGCCTTCTGCTGGTCTCTGGGTTCCAACACCGGCCCATGCCGGTATTTTAGGGTCCCACATTGACCTCTAAGGGCCCCGCACTGGATTCCGGAGATCCGATGCCGGTCTCCAAGGGTCCGCATCGGCCTCTGAGGGCCCACCTTGGCCTGTGAGGGCCCTCCGCTGGTCTCTAGGTTCCAAGTCCCGCCCATGCCGGTCTGTTACAGCCCCACACTGACCTCTAAGGGCCCATGCTGGCCTGTAAGGACATGCATTAGTCTCTGAGGGCCTTGCACTGGATTCTGAAGACCCGATGCTGGCCTCTGAGGCCCATCTTGGTTTTTGAGGGTCTTCTGCTGGCCTCTGGGGTCCAACACCGCACCATGCCGGCATTTTAGGGTCCCACATTGACCTCTGAGGGCCCATACTGGCCTGTAAGGACCCACATTAGCCTCTGATGGCCCAAGTCGGCATCTTAAGGTCTCATCCTGCCCTTTGCAGGCCCTGTACTGGTCTCTGAGGGCCTTAACCCTCGCCGGCCGGGGGGGGGGGCGGATGCCGCCCCTCCATAGGTTTTTTTCGCGATAGCTCCGAACACGCCGGCGATAGAGAGCTGAAGCTTGGCATACCTGACCTTTGAATCAAACGGGATCTTTTGACACCAACCGCATTTTCGGGTCAGATCAGGTCACTGACCCATGTGGTCATAAGTGAACCTCTGCACGGTCTTCAGATGTCGCAACTTCGCAACGCCCTCACTGCCAGAGGAGATTTCACAGGGAAATGAACCTTGGAGGACCTAGTATCCAATAGGAGTCTCTCAACTTGTATAATGTATATCTCGGATTTTTCCTAAAGTTCATATGAGGTCAGGTCATTTTCGTGACCTCACCATTAGGTATAAGTCAATGGGGATAAACTGAAAACTTTTTCTGGCGCCGGGAACGATCGATCTCCAACTATCTCAAGCACACCGAATCGTGATTTCATGCACTCCTTGCAAGGTTCGATGCGTCACTTTTGCAATGTTGACCTTGCGCGACGTCATTTATGAAGTTATAAGGGTCTTATTAGTTTTTCGTCAATAACTAGGTACCGATCAAATTGAGCTAGCGAGTTGAGAAAGCCACCTATGGACTCAAGAAGACCTGCCGAATCGAATGATATGCGACATGACCTCCTTCGACCAATTTCGTGACCTGGGGACGCCGACCTGACCGTGACCCGAGGTCAACACCCTAAGTTTACCTCACCCAAACAAAAAGTATATCATTCGACGCGTCTGAGAGAGGCGAACACGGTGCTGGCAAAATCGCGGCTCTGCGGCCATTTTTTGCGAAGTTATTCACCAAAAACGGAACCGTGCCTTGAGGCACTTGACCTGACCTCAGAGGTCACCGGTTTTTGTTTGTTTTGTTGGGTTAGGCCCTTTCGGTCCAATGAGACCATTTCAGAGCCGGAAGGATGATAGGATATAGGGAGAGACATTGGTCTGGGCAGGCACCCTAGTGAGTCGCCGGGGCTGAGCCCGTCCAGAGGACAGGCCACCCAGCCCCAAGGCACTCACTGCACCCGGCTACGGGGTGCGCTCCCTCGGGGGCAGCGGTGCCGCTCCAAGGGAGCAGCCCGCATGAGATAAAGTTGCCTGTCCAGCCCGGAGGGGGTTGCGGTGTGGAGGAGAAGGATTTCAGTATCCTGAGGATAGAAGCACGGAACGGTGTCAGAGGTCACCGGTTGACCTAGGACCATAAAATCGGGTATCGATCTCTGCGTCCCGTAACGGCGCACACGCTCGTTTTACCGCGACGCGCTAGCTCCACCTGGGGCGAAACGGCGAGGGGGGTCGTACCCGCCCCCGCCCCCTCGGCCAGCGCGTATGTAGAAAACCTATAGGACCGGGCCGTGGAGGGTTAAACTGGCCTCTGAAGGCCCAGACCGTCTAAAAGTCCCACACCGGCCTCTGATAAGTGATAGTCAATCAGCCCAGTTGCAGTGGTCGCTGATATAAAACCTCTTAAAAACGTTATAGGCCTGGCTGAGCCTAGCTGGGCCGTTCATGCTGATTTTTATAGGTATATTGAAAAGACTCGCTTTGCACGTTTCACGCTTGCTCGTAATGAAAAAGTTGCTGGATGCCTCTGGAATTTGCATGGGTGCCAACGGCTGCGGAGGACAGGGGAACGCGTCCATCAGTTTGAGTTTATGGACGGGAGACTCCCTGAAATTTCAACCAATTTTTTCTTTTTTTTTGTCTCGATTTTTTTTTACCTCTGAGCATGTTTGCGAAAACAAAGTGGCCAAAATCCGAGGAGAAATCGGATTTTGGGGGTAGGTTAGGTTTTGGACCTCTGGGACCCTGGCCCCCCCACTTTCGAAAACGTTCCTACGCCTATGTCGCTGCGTGCGGTTAGAGGACCTTGGCTGCGTGTGATGCAGTGACTTGTTCCACCGTAAGAACGACTATGCTGCATGGTTGTAACTTGTAGGTAATGAGGTCTGACACATGTGCCTGGAGCAGCA